TCCTGCAGGAAATTGTTGTGCCAGAGTTTCAGTACAAAGGAACAAAGGATCACAAGATATAAAAATAACAGAGAATAAAAAAATACCAACAATTAAGTTATAAACAGGTGCAGACAGAAACATTAAAGTGTTTATTGTGGTGCAGGATTAATGTTATAGTCCTGTATGCAGAAAGTGGGAGGAGTTAAAAAGTTTGACATCTACAGGGATGAAGGACTTCCTGTGTTGTTCTGTGGAGCACCTCGGTGGTCTCAGTCTAGGACTGAAGGTGCTGTGGTCAGAGTCCAGGTGTCCTGCAGGGGGGGTGACGTGTTGTTCAGGATCTGGAGCAGGTTCCTCAGCGTCCTCTGCTCAGACACCTCTGTCAGAGACTGCAGGTCCACTCCCAGAACTGAACCAGCTCTCCTGGTGAGGTTATTGAGTCTGTTGGCACCAGCTGTCTTCACCCTGCTGGCCCAGCACACCACAGCGTAGAAGAAGATGCAGCTTGGTCCTGTAGTGAACTAAGCCTCAGGTCAAATCTGGCCCTGAGGGCCTTCCTGGGACAAGAACTGTTACTTCATTGATTTGAGTCCAGAAACACAAAATTAAGTTCATCCAGAGACTTTCTAAGTGTGTCCTGCACTGATCAATTGAAAGAACACTCTCTTTTTTATTATCATTACTATTTTACAATATCTTGATAATCAAAAGTGTGTTTAGTTCAAACCATTTTAAATGTTGAAGTGAACTACTTATTTTAAATCAACTGTGAAACAGTATTAATGATTTTTAATCCTCATTCAAAGTAGAAATCAAGTTAATGTTTGTTACAAGAATAATTATGCATTTTGATTTTCTGTCTGAAATGAGCAAGTTGTAAGTCGGTCAAAAGTCAAGTTTCGGTCAACTACATGTTTACTGGAAAGAAATGTCATGTTTAACTTTTTCAGACAGATAGGAGGAGACTGACTCCAAAAAGTCTAATTTCTTCAAAACATCTTTCTGTCTGTTCTTAAACAACCTAATCTTTCTCCTTGACTTTTTATTAATAACCTCTTACATCACTAAGACCACACCCTGTTGGTTCGTTTCGACCAATCAGGAAGCTCTCAGAGGAACCGGAAGTGACCTCTTTAAAAGGTTCAACACTTCCTAGTTCCTTGCAGAATGCTGGAATGCAGAATGCAGAATGCAGTTCCAGCAGAACAACGGGAACTAAGCTGAACAGAATGC